AGTTCTCGCCTACATCGTCCATATAGGACGACTCGGGAACTCAACTCCTACCCCGGGCAGCTCACCTATCCCCTTATGCCCAGGGGAAAGGTATCAAGCCGTTTGACAGCTGGTGCTGGCTGTCAAACCGGCTTTTACGCAAAACAGGCGGGAGGCAGCAAACAGCTGCGACCGACGAAATCGCCTGCCACCGGAAGTCACCAACTTCAGTTCTAATTGTGTTATTTCGTTTCTCTTTATATTCTTTCTGTCCCATTTTGGAATTATTGAACTATTAGGGTTTTCCCAATCCAGTACTGATTTTTTTGTGTGGGGAGAGTATCGTTGTGGTTTCATAACCCAACACTAAAAAAAAATGAGATTGCTCTTATTATGTAAAAGGTTATTAAGAAAATATCCAATCAGATCATTAAAGAACATAGCCGTTTCTTTCAAATGTGCTAAGAAAATGTAAATTTGTAGAAAAAAAAGGAAGGTGATAATATTTAAAAGAAGAAAAAACAAAGATTTCTTGATCAGACTAGTGGTATATGGAAACATTTCTGCTTTTGACTTGCCAAAGTGACTGCATTTTTCCTATGTTTTTTTCTAGCAACATCTGATAATGTCTCACTTAAAATTTTAAAATTATTGATGTTTATGTTATTGTAATTTTTTATTGTTGTGATCCACCCAGGATCATTGAGGCCTAGAAGTTTAATACAATAATATATTATTATTGTGACATATGTGTGTATTCACAAAAAAGAGTCAAAATATGTGAGGTGATAAGTATGATGTCACATACTTTTGGATGTTAGTACGGTTTTGATATAGGTAGAAACTGGTGGGTTTTAGATTGTGACAATGCACTTTTATTTTCCAATTTTTTATATACAATAGTCCTTGATTTACAATAGTTCATTTAGTCACCATTTGAAGTTACAATGGCACTGAAAACTGTGCCTTATGATCTTTTTCACACTTATGACCACTGCAGTGTCCCAGGATCATGTTATCACCTTGTTGCTAAGTGAGACCTTCTGACAAGCAAAGTCAATGGGGAAACCAGATTCACTTAACCCTGTTACAATTGCAGTGATTCACTTAACTGTAGCAAGAAAAGTTGTAAAATAGAGCAAAACTCACTTAACAAATGTCTCACTTAGCAACAGAAATTTTGAGCTTATTTATGGTTGTAAGTTGAGGACTACCTATACAAATATATAACACATATCCTGCAAATACCATTCACGACATACTATATTTTCAAGTACTATTAATTAAAGATAGGCAGGTTGCTGCTAATGCAGTTCAGTTTTTCTTGATCTTTTGCAAGATTTGTTAATACTTCTATTTCTTCTTTTTTTTCAGAGTGGAAGAAAGCTTCAAGACTTTGTTTTGGGCAATATTTGGACTTTCTGAAGTCAAATCTGTGGTCATAAATTATAACCACAAATTTATTGAAAATATTGGTTATGTCCTTTATGGTGTTTATAATGTCACCATGGTTATTGTTTTGTTGAATATGCTTATCGCAATGATTAATAGTTCCTTCCAGGAAATTGAGGTAATATTCTGATTAAACTGATATGGTCTTTCCTTATAAAATGTAAAATGTTGTACATATTCTTAATAGGAACTACAACCATGCTAGTAAACAAACACAGGAAACATTGTAGTATAGAAGCAGTCTTTGAACTAATAGAGCTTTCCTTTAAAATTATTACTGTTCATTAAAATTATATTAACTACTCTGCTGATAGTAAAATATGAGTATTCAGCAATACAACTCTATATTTGCATCAGTCTTCTGTTTCGACCAAGGCCTGTTCTGGAAGATTGTCATGAGGACTATGACCTTTCTGAATGCTTCTGGGTGTTGCTTTCTTGGGACATAATTAAATCCAGCAAGACTTTTCTGATAACTTTATGCCTAGTTCACTGTAATTTAAGAAAGATGCTGACAGGCTAGAACATGTCCAGAAGAAGACAAAAGAGATGATACATAGCTTGCACACTAAGACTCGTGAAGAAAAGTTGAAGGATGTTAGCTTGGGGAAAAGACTATTAGAAATGGTGAAATACCCACCTTCTGAATCCATAACTAGATAGTTCTCTGCCATTAGAGAAGATAAGACATAAAAGAGCAGGATAAAATAAAAAAGGGATTTTGGTTAAGTACCAGTAGGAATCACCTGGCAAAATAAGCTAATAGACTTTGGAAAAAGAAAAGTATTTTCAGCACTAAGCAAACCAGTTTTTATTTCCTAGCACTGAGCAAAGACATTTGTTTGAATCACTCAATCAGTGTGCTGATTTTTTAACATCTTGCTGTTTAGAAATTTGCTTTTATTTTATTGTTTTAGTGTTGTGCTTTTTAATAACTGTAATTAATTATATATTTAATGTATTTCCAGTTCATGTATTTATTTAACAAATATTTATAGTCAGCTCCAAAAACTAATATAAGTCACCCTGACAAAATGTTGATTTTGAAGAATGACATCTATCTATTTCTTTTTACGATCCTGTAATCCAGTGGTGGCGAACCTATGGCACGGGTGCCAGAGGCGGCACTCAGAGCCCTCTCTGTGGGCACATGCGCCGTCGCCCCAGTCAATTTCAACTTCTCACGAGGAAAAAAAAAGATCTTGCAAAGTTGGAATTGATTGATTGAGCTTTTTAGTCCCACCCAGTCTGCCGTTACCACCGCAGCCACGCCCACCCAATGGGCCACACCCACCCGGCACTTGACGATGCATAAGTGGTTTTTGGGTTGCAGTTTGGGCACTCAGTCTCTAAAAGGTTCGCCATCACTGCTGTAATCCCTTGAATCGGGGTGGAATCGGGACAACTGAATGGAGCTAAGCGTTTACTGGGTGGATGCCTTTCCTGACGCCTACGAGGGGTTTGCAGCAGATATTTTTTCTTTGCACCCAGAGACAGAAATATCTGCTGCTACCTAAGATTATATATATGGCACTGAGAAAATAACACATATATATTAAAAAAGTGTATGTGTGTGTGTGTGTGAGGGAGAGAGAGAGGGAGAGACAGACAGACAGACAGAGACTGCATTTGTAGGTCTGTGGACAAATCTGCAGCTCTTCTCTTTTAGGTCTATGTCCCACTGCATCTTCTCTTTTAGGTCTGTGTCCCACTGCCTCAGGTAATCATTGATAGACTCTTTTGTCTGCCTTCCAGGATGATGCTGATGTTGAATGGAAGTTTGCAAGAGCGAAACTCTGGTTTTCTTATTTTGAGGAAGGCAGAACACTTCCTGTCCCTTTCAATCTGGTGCCCAGCCCCAAATCTCTGCTGTACTTTTCCCTCAGAATAAAGATGTGGATTTTTAAACTACTGTTTTGCCACAAGAAAGGTTTCCAGGAGGATGCTGAGATGAATCAGGTAACCAGCTGCCACTTCTAGAGTTACATATTTTTCATAGTTTGAGTTGGAGGAGGAAATACGTGCTATTCCTACACCATTCAGTACAATGGCTGCCTGAGGATGTGTGCTTTCAGCAAGTAAAATCAGCGGCTATTACAGTGCTACCCTACTGTTTCAGGAAATGAGGTAGCATATTTAGCATTGTTTAAAGTCAGCTTTTAGACTATTAGACAATTGAAAAGTGTACAGACTTTGTGCATTCTGCCACCATGTGTTCACAGAATGTAATGCAATGAAATTTCACTTGGGCCTTTTAAAATTTAACAGCCAGTCTTGAAATACTACTATATTGAAACAATTTAATGTAAGTACCTAATAAAATCTGCCTTCTGCTTTTATATCTTACTTTCAGAGGGACTGAGAATTGTTTCTGACTTAGTAGTGGTTTTGAGCGTTATTGTAGGAGGTCCCTGCTGTTGCTGGTGGTCCTGATCTTTCCATCATCTTGAAATCTCCTGACTTTTTCAATTAGAAACATCCCCATGGATGATGTTTCCTTATTATGACTTCTTCATGGAAGTATGAGAAATCAGAACTATAGATTGCAGAAGAGATGATTTTATGTGAAAAATAGGAATTGATGCATGTCTTGTGGACGTTAGAACTAAACAGCTGCAAATACTCCAGACTTCAATCAAAATTGAGCTGGAAGGGACCTTGGAGGTTTTCTAATTCAACTCCCTGCTCAAGCAGGAGACCCTATACCATTTCAGACAGGTGGCTGTCCAGTCTTTTTTTAAACAAATTTAGAAAAGAAATTCTCTTTCATGAGAGAGAGTTAGAAATGAAAAAATACAGGATAATTTTTCTGCAGAACACTAAAAATAACTACTCCTATGGATAATTTGTTTAGAGAGAATGTCAGTGAGAAGATGTTCCAGAACATGAAGGATAGCTCTTCCTGTGAGATTTTGCTTCCTGAAAACTGTACTTCCAAGAACTGAATTTCTAAAAGAAAAAACATCATACTTGTTGCATGGATGAAAAATGTTTTAGATGGAATTGCAGTAGTTATGTGGTAGTGGAGGGGAAAATGAAGGCAATTCTGGTTGAAATTCTTGGTCTATTCATCAGAACTGATTTGTATCAGGATGTATATATGCAGGTAGAATTAAGCTAATTAAGAGAATTTATAAATGGAGATCCAGTGGGATGAATCAAGTTTATTAAGGAATACCCCAATAACCAACTTGCATGTTTAAACTTTCTATCCTTAAAGTGAGGAAAATGAGATACCAAGCTATTTTTTCCTACAATCTTCCGTTTAGGGGAATGCAGAGGAAATAGGAGTGAAGAGGGAAATGCTTATTTTTTTCAATTCTAAAGCTCCTATGGATTAATAAATAAAACAATTAGTGTTTTGGAGCTCATGTCTAATAGTTATTATCCTCAATATGACAGCTTGTTCTTCCTTTATCATGTTTGTAGCTAAAGCTCCAATCACTTGGGGAAATAAGAAATTCCAGCAAATATGAAATGCGATTTGTTTTTGAAAATGTGTAAGTCCGTGTGGACATGGTCCTCAACATGAGCTGCTTATGAAAATGTAGCTATGTTAATTTAATGAAGCAGAGAGTCTGGATCCTCAAAAACTATCAAGTTTCTAGATAAAAAAATAATACAGAAAACTGAATACAAAAGGCTATGAAATGCGAGGGAAATAAATGAGAATGATATATCTATACAGAATCCAGTTGTTAGTTGGTGACAATTAATATGGATAAAATAGTATAACTAAGTAAAAATATTTACCTATTCTTCCTTGGCTTATATTTTGGATTCCCTGCTTATCTTCTTGAAAAATCTAGCAAGTAGAAAAAAGGAAGAAAAATAAGTTGGAATTATTTAAGAAAACTTCTTAGCATTTCTTATTTTCAGATGGAGCATAATAAGCTACCAAGTATAAAAAGCACAGATGATATCGACTTAAACAGCTCTAATAATCCACAGAGAAAGTATCAGGTAAGTATCAACTTTTCATTTTATGTTCAACTAGATCAGGTTTAACCTTGTTTTGTGTGTGTGTGTGTGAATTATTTTGTCATATAGAGTACCAGATCTGGATTGCATAATTTAGGATGGCCTTTATACAAAAGCAAAGGGCTAGATTTTTTTAAATTATACCTGTGTATTTTCACAGTATTTCATAACTCATCCTGTTTGATTAGTTATGGTTTGGTATGTTCTGTAGATCTGAAAAAAATGGGTTAATTCAGTAAATTACAAATCTAGTGTGAATCCAGCTAATTGGAACCATCTGGGAAATTCAACGGACAAAATTCTGCAGAATTTTAGTATAAAGTGTAAAGACATAATCAGTCTTACATGAAGAAGTCACAAAGTAACTTGTGAGAAGACTCAAGTATAAAAAAGGCCATAAAGGATTTCCCTCAGGAATTGCCATGATTCAGTTGAATCACATTAACGTATGAATTAACATACAATCTCCACTAGACCACTGTGTCCAATTTCCTGCTCTCTTCAAAAAAATCCAAATTAAACCATCTGAGATTGTTGGCTTTCTAAGTCTCTGTTTCAGTGCATCTAGTGAAGGGATCCCACCACCTTTTTGAACAGCCGGTTCTACTGGCTAACTGTTCTCACTGTTAAGCTTTTCCTAACTTTCAAGATGGAGCCTCTCTCTATATAATTGATCTCTATTATTCCATGCCTTTTCTTTGGGGTAGTAGACAACATATCGTGACCTCCTCTAATAGATTACGATTAAGTAAATCTCTTAATGGATTGTTCTTAATATGGATCACCTGGATCACATTCAGTTTGGATCAATGAAAAAATATAGGGAAATTGTTATGATGCAGTAAATCCTATGCAGTTCAACGGGACTTCTGAGTTAATATAGTTAACATACATGACACAGCAGTACTTCAATAGGCATCAGTTTGGTCATAGGAAGACTCTTTATAGTTTCTGGAGAACAAGCCAAGCCTTAATTAGCTTGTAGGATTGGGATCCTTTCAGCAAGTTAAAAAATATATTTTATGCTTCTCTTTTCCAGAAGATCATGAAACGTCTTATTAAACGATATGTACTGAAAGCTCAAGTAGACAGAGAGAACGATGAAGTCAATGAAGGTGAGATTGTGGAATGGCTATAATTCTAATATTAGACAACAGAGATTTCTCATTTGTTTTTGTCACCAAGACTTTAGTTGTATCTTTGCTGCCAAACATGTATTTTTAATCTATGGTCTATACCAGGGGTAGGCAACCTCGGCTCTTTTATGACTCATGAACTTCAACTCCCAGAATTCCTGAGCCAGCATCGCTGGCTCAGGAATTCTGGGAGTTGAAGTCCATGAGTCATAAAAGAGCCGAGGTTGCCTACCCCTGGTCTATACTATGGTGCACTATCTATGGTGCAATTCTAGAAGTGTCTCCTCATGAGATCATGCTGCCAAAGATTCATTAGCAAACTGATGAATAACAGAAGCAGAGCTTTCAGGTCATAGCTGCAGAAAGCAGAAAATGTAAGGGTAAATGGGATCTTGGAGATCACTTATCCCAACCTACTTGCCCAATGCAGGAATCCATTATTACAGTAAAGTGTATTACATTGAGTCTTGGGTAGGCTTAATACACCTATAAACCCTCAACTTATGATCACAATTGAGCTCAAAATTTCTGTTGCTAAGTGAAACATTTGTTAAGTGAGTTTTGTCCCATTTTACAACCTTTCTTGCCATAATTGTTAAGTGAATCACTGCAGTTGTTAAGTTAGTAACATGATTGTTAAGTGAATCTGGCTTCCCCATTGACTTTGCTTATCAGAAGGTCACAAAAGATGATTACAGGACCTTGGGACACTGCAACCGTCATAAATCTGAATTAGTTGCTAATTTTTTGATCACATGACCATGGAATACTACAATGGTTGTAAGTGTGAAAAACAGTCATAAGTCATGTTTTTCAGTGCCGTAATTTCAAATGGTCACTAAATGAACTGTTGTAAGTCAAAGACTACCTATATCAGAGGTTCCCAACCTTTTGGGCACTAGAGGAGAAAGGTTCTGTGGAGAAAGGTTTTTCCGCGGACCGGAGGGGGCGTGGTTTTGTGTGCTGCCTGCATCCCACGGGTGGGGCTTTATTTGTTTGTGCGGAGCAGTTGCTGGCATGCCATAACCCGGTACTAGTCCATGGACCAGGGGTTGGGGACTCTTGACCTATATAACCTTTCCTCCAACACGCAAACATACATAAAGTCTCCAAAATAAAAATAATTCCCATTTATCACAAATGCTATCTTTTTCTTCTTGGGGACACTAAAAAAAGATTTATTTTTCAAAAGTTTGATCTGCTGGTATACCAAGAGGACAGCATTTCTTTGGCTAGGAAAACTAATGCATAATTTTAAAGGTTCAAAATTAAAGAAATGTTGCGTGATCAGCCCTGCACAAAATTGACGCTCGCTCCAGGAGGTTTCCAAAGCTTTGGGGCTGAAACCAGTGTGTGTGTGTGTGTGTGTGTGTGTGTGTGTGTGTGTGTGTGTGTGTGTGTGTGTGTGTGTGTAGGTGCGCAGCAATAGAAAAAGACAATTTTTTTCCACTGGCTGGCTGAAGCATAGGAGGGACAGAAAGTGAAGGAGTTGGGAGCAAGGACTAAGGTATTCCAGCTCCACTAATGAATAATCTTCAGGAATTTAAGTCATAAGTCAGGGCAGTTCTTACGTGGGTTATCTCATGACTTGATTCTATTTTATGAGCATTTTTACAATGGTCGTAAATCAAGTCACCACAGTTTTAAATGAACCACATGCTCTTTAAGGAAACGCAGGATATCAGATGGACATTTTTGCTATTTTCTGCTAGAAAACGGTGAAAAATATCACAAATTGCTGATATGCAGTTTGCAATTGGTTGTAAATGCAGGCTGGTTGCCAAACAACCGACATGTGGTCATTTATTTATTTATAAATTTTATTTGCTGCCCATCTTGTATCCAACGACTGGGCAGCTTGCAACACAGAAAGACTGAAAAACATTAAAAATCATACATCGTAAAAAATGCAGGAGATATAAATATTTTACGACATTTGGAAGAGCTTTAGGCACTTTAAAGCACCCTTTTAAGGCCATCATAATTTCAAATGGTTGTTAAGCAACAGGTCATTAAGCAAGGACTATTTATATTGCATTGCTGATGGTAGGGGAACAGATCTCTCTTTTTATAAGAGGAACAGTACTGTAGCTTATAGGAAAGCAATTTCAAGAGATAAAAACACTTCAGGAGGGAAAAAGAAATGCATAGTTTCTCTTCAGATTTAAACCAGTGTTAGGACAGTTGCTAGCAGTGGTGCTAGTAATATTGATCCCCATAGCACTAAAATCTACCATCTGCAAAAAGATACTGGATAAGAGAGAGGATGAATTCTGACCTCTGTCACCTGTTCTAGATATTGAACCAAGGTTGGCTTTCTTGGTGATAATACTGGGTAGGAGGGGGAGCAATGACTGGCATCATGCCCTTGACGTGATGACCCGTTGCCTGGAGGCCGTACGGGTCTGGATGGGGAGGAACAGACTCAGGCTCAACCCTTCCAAGACCGAGTGGCTGTGGTTGCCGGCGCCTCGGCATAGTCAGCTGACTCCATCGCTGACTATAGGGGGCGAAATTTTGGCCCCCTCAGAGAAGGCACGCAACTTGGGTGTCCTCCTGGA